GGTGTTGGGGGGGGGGGGGGGGGGGGGGGGTGCATGGCCGAGAAGGGAGGGATCCTGATTCTGGGGTGGCCAGAGTGGAGTGCAGTGTGTGGTCAGCAGAATCACTGACCCCCTGATCCAGAAGGAGGTGAGGGCCGTGCCCCTCGGTCACTCAGTCATCTCAGTGGTCACGGGAAAGGGAGGAGGTGCTGGGACAGGCTGTGCCCGGGTGTGGGCTAAGGCAGGCTGGTGACTGGGCCTTCGCCACTTAGCCATCGAGCAGAGGGTGTTCAGTGGCTGAGTAAGCAAGCACGCTCAAGGTAGAGAGGAGAGGGAACAGCATGCGGGCAGAGGGAATGGCAAACTTCCTCCTTGTTCCTGTCCCCTAAGCATCGATGAGCATGCCCGCTTCCTCTGTGGTGGACGCTGCCCCCACTGCCCCTCCCTGAATGCCCGCAGCTGGCCTCAGTGGTGGGTATGAATCGCCATTTTACAGTTGAGGAAACTCCTAGTAAGCTTTCCCATGGACTGCACACTTAACAAAGAGCAAAATCAGAGACGCCAGGCTCGGGGGCCTGACTGCGGTTGCACACTCTAACCAGAGTGCTGAACTGCCTCTCCACGGATGCGCTCGCTGGAGGGGTTCCCCAGACCTGGGCCTGCGCCTTCCTCCACCTGCTCGCATGGGATTCAACGCCTTTGGAGCAGCTCAGTCCACTGTGGTCCCGGGTCTGTTCTATTGGGACCATTCATACCAAGTGGCACAATTTTCCAGGATTTAATATGTGAAATGTTTGAATTAAATGAATGAGGGACATTAGAGGGCAAAGAGTATATTGTAGGACAAGAGAGCAGATCATCTAGATTTTCAGTCTTTGTGTGCCCATGGGCGAGTGTGAAACTTCTGAGCTTTGATTTTCTAGTGTTTAAAATGAGACTTCTGTGCCCTCTAATTCCTAAGGTCTGTTTTAGCACTAATGTCCTTCTTTCGATCCTGTTGGAATTAACTAGCTTTTCTAGGGAATCTCAAAGATTATACGCACAACCCACGTGTGGTCCCAGAAGCAAAGCATGGTCTCCGTTTCTCAGAGGAAGCTGGGTCTCCCCCATCATAGAAGTAAACTTCCCTAATAGCAAGTAATTGCCTCCATTTAATCATCCTCACGCTTGGTACTTGGCAAGGCCTGGCTTCACAGTGTTCTGATCCAGCGGGACGTCGCCCGCCACATCTTGAATAGGTTTCTAACTGCAGAACAGTGAACACTTGCAGATGATGCTGGGACGCGTGCGCACACTGGTCCACGCCGGTCTGCACCAGCCTTCCTGCTCCCATATGCCGGCCGCGTGGACCAGCTGGAGGCACAGATGGGGCCTGGCACCGGGAGTCATTGGCTCCCCTCTGGCCTGGCAGGCAGGGGCCGAGGCTCGGCTCCGAGAGCGCTGGGAGGCCCAGTGTTCCTGGTACAGCCGTCACCTCCTCGTGGGGCCGCTGGTGATTAAGCCCGTGGCTCTAGTGCTGGAACACACCACCCCGGGAGGTTTTCTCTCTGTCCTCCTCTTGCCACGAATCCCAGCCTGCAGCCTTGCTGATTGCTGGCAGCTCCGAGGAAAGGTTTACGGGGAAGAAAGAAAGGAAGGAAGGAGGTTAATCAATTAGAAAGGGCCCCGAGCCTCCTAATTCCGTCCCTTCAGGTGTTCTCCCCGCCTTTCTCCCTCCCCTATGGTGTAGAGGTGGTTCTTGGGGCTGTGGGCAGCTGGTAGGTCATTTGGAGGTCAGAACACATTAACTTAAGGAGGAAAAATGTGCACCAGGCCACAGACGCCTTCAAGCTGTTAGCCTCGTTTCTGTTTCTCCCTGCAGTCGGCCCGGCTGTGGTCCTTCTCCCCCTCTGATGACCGTACAGTTAATGTAGAAGCTGGGCCGCTACCTCCAGACCTGGGTTAGTGTGAGCAAGAAAGGCTGTGGCTCTTTGAAAGCAGTGCGCCTCCCCATGGTCCTGGATAGCAGCAGGGTCACTGTCAGGGTGGCCACACACAGGTCTGGCAGTGCAGGAAGCTGGGGGATCCCTGTGGCAGGGAAGGCAGAGAATTTGGGGGGTCAGGCATGCTTAGCTGGAAGTCCAGTCATGGCCACTCTGGCTGTGTCACCGTGGCCAGGCCATTGACTCTCCTGAACCCCCTTTTTCTCCTTTGCAGTGTGGGACTCCCCCTCTCTACCTGGCAGGGCTGTTTGTGTGGATGGGCGAGATGTGTGTGGAGCCCCCAGTGAGTGACAGCTGTAAGGAGTGCCTGCCTCGTGTTCCCTTAACTGTGCCCATTTCTAAGAGTAACACCCCCCCTCCCCCGCAGTGCCCAGTTAAAGACAGCTGCAGCGAATACGCCATCATGGCAACGGGAGCTGCAGAAACTGGTTCTGGGACTTTTACACTTTCCTCCAGGCGTTACTTCCCCTTCCAGGCACTGCCACGTCTCCGTTTTTTGTGTTTTTTAAGTCTTATTCTTTGTGCCACGTTCTCATTGAAAAGTGGGGCTTGGCCTCCTGCTTTTCCCTCGTAGGAAGTTATAGCAGCGTTGCGGGGGGGCCGAGAGGCACGCTGGTACCGGGTAATAAAGACCGACCCCCAGTGAGCGAGGGGGCCGCTTTTCGCCACAGCGTCCAGCTGCTTCGGGAGCTCGGGGCCGGCCCGGTGTCTGGAGTGTCACGTGTGGCCGCGCTCTCCGGAGCGGTGGGGCTTCCTCTGTGGCGTCTCGAGGTGGGGATGGGTCCCCGCAGCATGTGTGACACTCCCGCAGGGTGTCGCCGTGGGAGGAGCAGGGGTGCGAGTCCCCGCGCTGGCATTTGCCGTGGGCACTGGGCAGGGCACTCCTCCGAACCTCAGCTGCTTCGTGGAGACCATCGTCTGTCTTGCAGGGTGTTCCTCAGAAGGCAATTGCAGTGACCAAACGAGGCAGAAGAGACGAACCATAATAATAAATCATGAGTTCGTCCTTCTCAGGGTCACTGGACAGAGACAGCGTGTCGAGAAGCAGAATCAGAGGCCTGGTCTCCCGCCTGCCTCCTGTCTCGGTGACTCGGTGCTCAGTACGTGAGGCAGGCAGTGTAGCATAATGGTGAGAGCACCAGTTCCAGGGTCAGACTTCCTGGGTCTAGACCCCACCTGTGCTTACCAGATGCATGTCTTGGTAAAGGTACTTGACATAATTCCTTAAGCTTATTGAACTTCATGGCTGTGTAGCGTGCTCTTACATACGGCTTCCAGGTCATTGTACTGATGTGTTTTTTAGGTATTCTAGAATTACTTCATAATTTACAAAAACGAGCAAGTAGCAAAAAAATGACACACTTAGGTCTTAAAACAGTAAAAGGTGTAGAAATGTGTATCTTCAGAGTTGTGTGTCCATGTAACTCCATCACGGCATCATTCGAGAAGATTTTAGTTGACTTCAGATGCTAACAGATATTGTGAGACTTCCCTGGGAGTTCAGCTGGCTCTCCGCTCGAGGCTGAACTGGGACCCTAGGGGCCCATGTGCAGGTTTTGTAAGCGGGACCATGGCTGGTCCTGCTCGCGTGGAGCTGTGAGGCCGGGACTGCAGGGGTCTGTTACTGTGGTCGGATTGGCCTCCCCTTTAAGACCTCGTCTATGGACGTCCTCTTAGCCTCTGTGTGAAGGAGCCCGGCCAGCGAGGTGACCTTAGTTACTGGTGGAATCGCATCTGGAGCCTGGGCGTCCTGGCATCCGGAACAGGGGTGTCTCCAAGCCATTCCAGCCGAGGAGAGACGGACACGGTGCTCCGTGCTCCCCGCTCCCCGCTCCCCTGGAAGAAGACGAGGCGTTGCAGAGCACAGCCCTCCATCAGACACTGAAACGTTTGCTGCTGTATTGACACCATCTCTTCTGTAGGAATTATCTCGGGGAGGAAAAAAACACAACGACGCTAGGAAAAGTGATTCCATTGACCAGTGATGACCAGTTATTGTTCCTTTTGTCAACAGGCAAGATGAATGAAGTGCTGGCAGCTTCCCGTGCCCCAGGCCTTGTAGGAATAAGTGAGCCGCGCACCAGAGGGCTCATGTGCGCCACACCGGACCTGGTGCAAGGACCATGTGCAAGGAAGCCTTAAGGAACCCACCGTTACCCACTGAGAAGGCTCTGTGCCCTCGGGCCTTGCTTCTGCTTGAATCCAGAGGTTGCGAGCATGCTTCCCTATATCACCTGTTGGAGCAGGTTTAATTTTATAAATTTGAAACACAAACTCTATGAGTTTCTAGTCCATCATTGTTCTTGTTGAGGATCCACGCAGATGAACAGGGCGGCGTCCGGAGGCGATGTGCACGTCCACTGGACCAGAGTTGACTGCAGCATAAATGGCAGCAGGCTCCATCTGCCTCTCCATCCAGGGCCGCTACAGAAGGACAGTTAGCAAGGAGACCCCTCCAGGAGAGAAGGTCCCATTGTGTTGGAACCACAGATTCCTAGAGCCATAGCTTCAGTGACCAAGGCTGTTCTCTTGAACACAGCGTGCGTAGACTGCAGCTCTTGATGGTGGCTTTCATCCATTATCATTGGTCATCGCCTTGGACAGTTGCCAGCATTGGACGTCTTAAGCGTTCATTGAAAAAAAATGCAGCTCTGAGAGAATCCAGGGCTCGATACAGTGTTCTGGGCACTGCACTCCAGCGTTCGTGTCACAGTATTACTAATGGCAGGTGCCCAGGTGGTTGATGCCAAACCTAGTGGGAGAGGCAACGATGGGCATATTACATTGTGTTGTAAACATACTTTATAAGTACATTTCTTATTAGCTTCTTATTCGGGCAGAGACAATAACATTTCTCTCTTGAGTTTCCAGACCAGGATTTGTGTTTTGGAAATTACCAGTGTTCACAATACCTGCGGGGGGGGGGGGGGGGGGGGGATGCAAAAACTCAAGTACGAGCACTCTTTATACCTGAAAGAATGTTTTTATCATTCTTCTGTTTGTTTTGGCTCTGTCACGGATTGAAGTGCTTGGAATGCCGGAGTCTGTGGTCTCTTGAAACCTACTCAGTGAGAACCTACCCCCCTCACAGTATGCTGTCACTTTGGACATTCATGATAAAAACCGAAACTAATTTTGATTACTAGTCATTTGCTTTGCTTTGTAGCTTCTTGTGTCTTTTGTGGTTCATCTTTGCTTAGCAACCAAGAAATTTGTATTGTCACATATATGGACACAGAGATGCATACATAGTTCAGGCCTTTCACAGTCTCCTGCATTGAATCACGGTAGATTTCTATGTTTAAACAAGCACTCTGTTATCTGTTGAAAGGCTGAGATATTTTTGAATGCCATGGTGTTTTTCATTATGCATTCTACAACCTGGATAAAAGATAACCTATGAAGAGTTCACTCTAGCTATCTTTTTTTTAATCCTCACTCAAGAATATGTTTATTGAGAGAGAGAGAGAGAGAGAGAGAGAGAGAGAGAGATGGGATACTTCCCATATGCACCCTGACTGGGGATCAAACCCAAGACCTAGGTATGTGCCCTGATTGGGAATCGAACCACAACCTTTTTTGTGTATGGGACGCAGGACAACACTCCAACTAAGCCACCTGGCCAGGGAGCAAGCTTTCTTCAGTTTCTGATTATACTATATTTTCTGTTAAATTGATTACAATATAATTCTAATTCATTTTGATTATGATGTTTTCTATTAAATGAGTAGAAAATTGGAGAAGGTTGTGGGTGATATAGCCATAGGTATAGGCTTTTCAGTGGCATATTCTGTGTTTGACTCTGCCCAGTGTGAAACAGAGTGTATTTTTATTGTAGTGAGAAATGAAAATTAAAAAAACTGCAAAGAAATCCAAGCACACACACCTATGAAGACTGTGCTTGGCACTTTTACCACATTTGATGTGGAAATAAGAAAAGATCCCTTTCTTTCTATTCTTTTGTAACTGAACTGACTTACCGCTCTAGCTCCCCCCTCCTCTCCCTGCTCCCATCCCACCTGCCACCCCCACTCTGAAAAGGACCAGCACGGACAGTCTGGTGCACATATGAGTAAATGGTTTTGGAACTCTTCAATTTGGAAAAACAAGCAGGAGGGGCGGGTTCTTCTCGGTGGATGGGGAGGGAGGAGAGAGAGTAGAACAGCGAACACTTAACAGGAGGGTCCCTCCTTCAGAACTGAGGCGGGTGCAGTCCTCACATTCAGTGGGCGGAGCGTGTCTGACCACAGGGGGACAGCAGGGCCCATCTGCCCGGAGAGTAACCCGTCTAGAAATCCCAGGGCGCCGCCTCTGTTCCCGGGTAATTCCCTTTTCCGAAGCCTCCACACCCCTCTGCCCAACATCTGGACCGGCTCGGAGGCAGCGTGAGCATCTAACACCCACACTCCTGGCTCCTGGCTCCTGGCTCCTGGCCAAGGCAGAGGAAAGCTTGCAAAGTCATTGGTCTGGGGGGGTAGGGTGGGGGGAGGCTTACCTCGAGCAGAGCTGGTTTTAGACACAGTGTCAGGGACTGAAACACCGAAGCTTTGGGCACTCACACATGTAGAAAGGGTCCTGGCTGTGGGTGGTTTGGTTTGTAAGTAAACGCTGGCCGCGCTCTCACTTTCTAATACCGAGATCTCATTCAAATGAGATGGGTGGTGTTAAGCAGTTTCTTTGTGATTAATAAATTCTTTAGAGAGTTTAAAAAAAAACACAAAAAAAACCCCTGAAGCATCTGTTTCAGAATGGCCTCCCATAGGAGTTGCACATAGGTGATGGCTTTCATCCGAGCAGTTAGGGAAGTGGTCTGGTTTGGTGCCTTGGGTGAAAGCCTCTTTCCCTCCTTACTAGTAATTCCTCTACGTGCACCGTGTCTGGTCCCTTTGTGGAATGGGGGGATACCCCACCACCTGTGGCTGGCAGCGAAGCACCTCGTTTCTATGGCGGGGCTTCCTCTGGGACTGCCCACCAGGAGCGGGGCCCGCACAGTGGGCAGATGGGACTGTGTTTATTGTTGATGGACATTCACTGCTCCTTAGGTCTGAGAAATGCTGTGCTTGCTTCTCTTGTGTCTCCTAAGGTGCACATCTCTTTCAAAACATTTCTTCAAATAGCATAGAAAAAAAGACTCTACCCGTGGGCTACGAGGAAATAAAATGAAGCTCGTTTTCACACGTTCTTGTGTTGTTAGCCAATGAAAAGGGTAGCGGTCGTACGCCAATTACCATGTTTCTCTTTTATTAGTGTAGATTTTCTGTTAAATTGATTACAATATAATTCTAATTCATTTTGATTATAATGTTTTCTATTAAATAAGTAGAAAATTGGATAAGGTTGTGGGTGATATAGCCATAGCTATAGGCTTTTCAGTGGCATCTTCTGTGTTTGACTCTGCCCAGCGTGAAACAGAGTGTGTTTTTATTGTAGTGAGAAATTAAAATTAAAAAAACTGCAAAGAAATCCAAGCACACACACCTATGAAGACTGTGCTTGGCACTTTTACCACATTTGATGTGGAAATAAGAAAAGATCCCTTTCTTTCTATTCTTTTGTAACTGAACTGACTTACCGCTCTAGCTCCCCCCTCCTCTCCCTGCTCCCATCCCACCTGCCACCCCCACTCTGAAAAGGACCAGCACGGACAGTCTGGTGCACATATGAGTAAATGGTTTTGGAACTCTTCAATTTGGAAAAACAAGCAGGAGGGGCGGGTTCTTCTCGGTGGATGGGGAGGGAGGAGAGAGAGTAGAACAGCGAACACTTAACAGGAGGGTCCCTCCTTCAGAACTGAGGCGGGTGCAGTCCTCACATTCAGTGGGCGGAGCGTGTCTGACCACAGGGGGACAGCAGGGCCCATCTGCCCGGAGAGTAACCCGTCTAGAAATCCCAGGGCGCCGCCTCTGTTCCCGGGTAATTCCCTTTTCCGAAGCCTCCACACCCCTCTGCCCAACATCTGGACCGGCTCGGAGGCAGCGTGAGCATCTAACACCCACACTCCTGGCTCCTGGCTCCTGGCTCCTGGCCAAGGCAGAGGAAAGCTTGCAAAGTCATTGGTCTGGGGGGGTAGGGTGGGGGGAGGCTTACCTCGAGCAGAGCTGGTTTTAGACACAGTGTCAGGGACTGAAACACCGAAGCTTTGGGCACTCACACATGTAGAAAGGGTCCTGGCTGTGGGTGGTTTGGTTTGTAAGTAAACGCTGGCCGCGCTCTCACTTTCTAATACCGAGATCTCATTCAAATGAGATGGGTGGTGTTAAGCAGTTTCTTTGTGATTAATAAATTCTTTAGAGAGTTTAAAAAAAAACACAAAAAAAACCCCTGAAGCATCTGTTTCAGAATGGCCTCCCATAGGAGTTGCACATAGGTGATGGCTTTGTAAGCAGTTTCTTTGTGGTTAATAAATTCTTTAGAGAGTTTAAAAAAAAACAAAAAAAAAAAACCCTGAAGCATCTGTTTCAGAATGGCCTCCCATAGGAGTTGCACATAGGTGATGGCTTTCATCCGAGCAGTTAGGGAAGTGGTCTGGTTTGGTGCCTTGGGTGAAAGCCTCTTTCCCTCCTTACTAGTAATTCCTCTACGTGCACCGTGTCTGGTCCCTTTGTGGAATGGGGGGATACCCCACCACCTGTGGCTGGCAGCGAAGCACCTCGTTTCTATGGCGGGGCTTCCTCTGGGACTGCCCACCAGGAGCGGGGCCCGCACAGTGGGCAGATGGGACTGTGTTTATTGTTGATGGACATTCACTGCTCCTTAGGTCTGAGAAATGCTGTGCTTGCTTCTCTTGTGTCTCCTAAGGTGCACATCTCTTTCAAAACATTTCTTCAAATAGCATAGAAAAAAAGACTCTACCCGTGGGCTACGAGGAAATAAAATGAAGCTCGTTTTCACACGTTCTTGTGTTGTTGCAGAAATAAATGCCTAACTTCAAAATAGACAAACAGATCAAGTGGCTATTATTACAGACAGTTTAAGAAATATTATAGCCCAGTTGGTGTGGCTCAGTGGTTGAGCGTTGGCCCATGAACCAGGAGGTCACTGTTCAGTTCCTGGTCAGGGCACATGCCTGGGTTGTGGCCTCGATCCCCAGTGGGAGGCATGCAGGAGGCAGCCCATCAATGATTCTCACTCATGGATGTTTTCTATCTCCCCTCTCTGAAATCAATAAAAAAATATATTGTTTTTTTAAAAAGGAAAGATTATAAACTAGAAAACTATATGCACATTTAATTATCTAAATGTTTTATATACAAGTTCAAGTACTGTACTCAAATATATTTTCTAAAAAAAGTTACCATTCATATGATTAACACAAATTTAAAAATCCACCAGAGAATCCGTAGACGAGAAGTAAGCGTGGCCTTCAGTAACTGTGGACAAGAACCTGAACACACCTTTTATAATTTCGCCTGGATCGTCATGGGTTGGGAGGAGACTATTATATTTGAGTAGCAGCAGTTGCTATTCAAAAAAAATTTTTTTTAAATTTTACTATATCAACTTCAAGGACCCTTCACGAAGAGTTGCACTGATTTAAAAGTTCCCTCACCCAATGTCAACAGGCTAAGGAAGGAGACACAGCAAAGAGACATCCACTGGGCACCTCCCTCCTCCATGCATCGATCTCACCCTCATTCCTGACAGGAGAGGGAGAAGTTTGCTGGAAGTGTCCATGTTATCTAGAGTTTATCTTGCCCGTGTAGACGTCAGCACCGGACGTGCACACACTTGATGGGACTGGAGGTCATGGCAGGGAGCTTCCCAGGTCACAGAGCAGCAGGACCCCCGGAGACAAGGCCTGGCGGAGACCCTGTCACGGGGAGGCCCACCCCCGCTCTGCCGTCAGCGCTGGGAGCTGCCTCCTCCCCGCGTGTTACCCAGCCCCGCAGGTCCAGGCCCTCGCCTGCGTGCTGTAGGCCTGGCCACACTCAGCCGAGTCTCCTTTACAACGTCGGACTCCAGTCCCGAGTCTGGCTGTTGAGAAGAATGTTGTACATTTGTCTCCAAATTCCAACACTCCTCCCTCCAACACCTGTTCATTG